CCCCAAAACCCCAAAACCCCAAAACCCCTGGAATTAGAGTATAGACTAAAGAATCAAAACCCCCTCTATTCAACCCAATTTTAGGAGCTTAACACAACAAATATTCTGGCACATTTTCTTCCCCCATCACCCATCCCTCCAATACCATCACCAACCCCCAACCCCTCAATTCCTTCCTCTCAACTATCTCATCCCCTTTTCTCCCTCCAATCCCCATTTTAACCAGTACAAATCCTAAAAATTTTAACCCAAGCGGCTCCACTCTTGTGCATGAAGAAATTTAGAGGAAGGAGAAGGGCTATGTTTGGGAGAAATTTTGGCTGGAGAGGTGGAAGTTAGATGTCAAAAAGAACTTAACAATTGGCTTCATAATATCAATGAATGTGAATTTGAATTCGTATAAAATCTGAAGTCATTAGATGAATTCCCCTTGTTTTTACAAAGAATGTCAAGAAAAATCATCCAGATATTGTCTTAGCCATAAAGTGTGAATATGAATGAACTGCAAGCATGATCAGCATTATTATTGAAACACTGTGGAGATTATTTCACCAGAACCGTTGAAATATCAGCTAGAGAAGCTATTCCAGCTTGTAACAAATGTCGTCAAGTTTGTGGATAGATTTCATTTAGATATTAACTATCCACATGCAGCTGTGGTAACCAAAAGAATGAAAGCAGACTTTATTGAGATATTAACAAATGCTATGACAGATATAGAGAAAGGAAGCTTTATGACTTATGAAGCCCACGAGAAAGAAATTAACAAGTTTAGATGGAAAATTGATAATGATGAGGAACTAAATATGCTGATGAGCAGGATCTACCAGCAGTTAATTTTTAAGAACATTTGTCCACTCGGAGACGATAGCTTATTTGAAGAGAAAGAATAAAAGCTCAAAGAAAATGCCTTGAAATTTTTGGGAATAGAAAGTGAATGCAAATCATTAAACCATCAAAATCTTAAAGAAGCTAAGCAAGATGAAATTTCATCATTCTCTTGTCCTACTCTTGCAGATTTAAGGAAAAAATATTTTTCTGAAATATCTGAAGTCACTAAAGAAAGCACTCTTGTGCTAAATCTACAAAAGCAAGAACACATTGGTTTTATGAAGGAATCTATTCAGCAAAATGTTAAGCTTGTGGAGATTAATACTTTCTCCTTTGATGATCTTCTTGATAAAAGCGAACTGCTAGCTGCCTACTTATCAAAATGATTACCTGACAGATTATGCAATTTTCTTTATATGAGTGGCATCTTCGGACTTAACCGCACCAAACTTTTAGAGTATCGAAACTGAATAGAAATATTATTGTAAACGAGCTTTAAAACTCTAACTCTGGCAAATTTTGTCTGATCCAAAGATGACCTCCAGTGGCTTGCAACTAGATCTATAGAGAACAATTTTGAATTGAAAATGGCTGATTGATTAACCTTCTCCAGTGATGCTGAAGAGTTATCTCTTATCACCGAAGAGCAAGCCAAAGAATACAATATTGCAACATCTAATACCTTACAGATTTAGGATAGATGGGCCAACCAGATTGGCTATCAATTAGCCCATAATTTTTATTACTAATGCATGCAAACTATTTCGATACATAATAAACAACCAATGGTTGTCTAAATTTTCCAAAAGTTTTAGCCAACCTTAAGTGAATATTTAGGGGTTTTGGGGTTTTGGGGTTTTGGGGTTTTGGGG